CCTGCGGGGAATCGGCCGGATGAGCCGTCAGGAGCTGCGAGCTCCGATAGGCTCCGAAACTGCGAAGCTATTCCTGTCATACCCTCAGTTCCGCTGCGGAGGCGCAAGCTGACGTTTGCAGCGTTAATTAAAAATAAAATTCATTTTTGCATCTCCAGTGACATGCCACGCTCCTGTTCGATCTCTTTAAATCGTAGGCAGGTTTGTATTGTGTAGCTCGGGGGGCACTTCTTGCTGCGAGCTCCGATAGGCTCCGAAACTGCGAAGCTATTCCTGTCATACCCTCAGTTCCGCTGCGGAGGCGCAAGCTGACGTTTGCAGCGTTAATTAAAAATAAAATTCATTTTTGCATCTCCAGTGACATGCCACGCTCCTGTTCGATCTCTTTAAATCGTAGGCAGGTTTGTATTGTGTAGCTCGGGGGGCACTTCTTAAGCTTTTTCTGGTTTAAATGTTTTCTCATTACGGATAGGTCTTGATTGCTTTAACCAAATGTCATTTTCCCGATTAAAGCTATTCTAAAACACTAGACAAAGTTGTGTATTATAACATACAAGAAGAGGAAAGACTCAGCAATTATTTTAGTTATTGCCAGCTCATCTGGACTGTGTTTAGGGAGGTTTTTCTTCTAAAACCATGTAGTTGTGGTTTGTGGTTTTTTGGGGTTTTTTTTGTTGTTTTTTTTTTTTTTTTTTAATAAGACCATGAGCTTGTGATGCTTACAGACTATATAACCTGCTTCTTTGTAACTATGTGGAAAGTTAAGGTCTTTTTTATTTTCTAGGAAATGCTGGAAGCACTCAAGGCTCTCTCAACCTTTTTTGTCGAAAACAGTTTGCGCACCCGGAGAAATTTGCGTGGAGACATTGAACGACGAAGCTTAGCCATAAATGAAGAATTTGTCCACATATTCAAGCAAGTTAAAGAGGTAGCATTTTTACAATAGGACTATCTTGCAAGAGTACTGCTATGTAATTTAAAGTTTAAAAAAAGAAAAAGGGATTAAGAAAGATTTTGTCTTTCCACAACAAATATACTATTACAGTAAAATTGTTTTGTCGTTTGTTTCATTTGATGAAAATCCTGTGCAGAGAGAGGTGATGTTTCAAACAGATAAAAATCCCAAGTGAATGTTGATCTTTAGAGGTGCGTTCTCTCCGTTGATTAACAGGGAGCGTAGAGCGACTATGTTCCTCGTAACTTGAGCATGTCATTTTGGTGGGATGAAGCTGGGCCTAGGCATGACATTTCTGATTTAAAACGCAGTTACTGTTATTTGAACTTGTTTAGGAGCTTGAGAGTATAAACGAAGATGTGCAAGCGATGAGCAGCTGCTGTGAAGATATGTCCAGTCGCTTGAAGGTAATATATAAATAGATGTGCTTTATATATTTTTCCTTTTGAGGTACGACTGCTTTCTTTTAAAAGGATAAATAATTATTTTGGAGTATTAACAGCAACAGCAAGATGTTCCCATAGTATGCATATTATGTTACTTTTAGGATATTAATGTATTTGTTTTTACTTGTTTAGAAAATATATTGAGGAAGTAATTTTAATTTTTTCCAAATTGCAATTCAGAATGTTATTCTCAAAATAAGTATATTGCTGCAATGTGATATCCACTTGTATGTGACTAGAGAGAAAATATTTTACGAGATTGGATATGTGTGGGATTAAAGGGTTAATTACGTTTCTGTATTTCTGTTTAAAATTTGTGTGCCTTTCACATTGACTACATCTGTTGTTTCATTTGTCATATAAATACTTTAAGTATATTCGTAAGAAAGTATCTTGTAATCCAAAGAGGGAGACAAATCTAGAGTGCCCTCTTCATTTTATTGGTTTTGTTTCCTGACATTGTCTCAGAATGCTGATATGCAACAAAACCCATTCTATTTCCTATTAATCCTGAATCCATAGTATTCTATGAGAAAAAAAAAGTTGTGTTTTGTAATGCATTACTAAATCTGGCTTGATTTTAGTGTACAAGGTCAATACTCAATACAGTGGTGAGTTTAAGAGGTTTATAGATGCTGAAGTGTAGATGTTTTGCCAAACTAAATCTGTTCTGAATATAGCACATAAGTTATAGTATGTGAATGAGAATCCTTCAGTAAAAAATCCCATGAAAACAGTTGCTTTTTCCCCTCCTAATATGTGTGTGTAGATATTAGATGTCCTCCTACTTAGATGAATAGGTTTCATAGTCGATGTACGTAATTCCCATAAGACTGCTTGTAGTTTGAACTTCTTCCAAAAAGTGCGAAAGTACAGTGTACCTTACTGCAGGACTTAATTTTCAGTTTTGGAAGGCAATGGGTAATACACCTCGGAGGTCTGAGATCTCTTTGAACACTGTTAATGTGGGTGTATTCCCTAGCACAGCTCAGGAACTGTTTGGTTAAACTCTTAGATGTGGAAATGAGTGAAGTGTCCATGTGGATTTTTGCTCTTTTCTGTCCTTAGATCATGAAATGTAACTATCATCTGTGATTCCCGCCCTGCCTCCCAGAGTAGAGCCACCCTGCAGTGATTTCTTTTTTGATTAAAGTCAGTAGGTAGTTTTGTTCTGTGCCCCACAGGAGGTTTCCTCTAGAGCCCTGTAGAACTCTTAACTTGTCTCAATTCAGCCCATGTTTTCTTTGTCTGTATGAATGTAAAGTAAGTTAATAAGCCCATGAACTAGCACTCAGTTATCAAATACTCCTGTATTTTATCTTAATAGGACATGGAGACTTGCAAGCATGTGCTCAAGCTGAATAAGAAGACAAAAATGAATTAGGTAGAGCAAACAGAAGATATAAAGAGGAGGATCTGTAGCATATAAGGCAGAGAAGTGTGCTAAGAGAACAGCGTATTAAGAGAGCAGAACAAATACAAGATACAAAAGGGACTATATATTGATAAGCCTGAAAGCTTTTTACCTTTTTTCGTTCTATGAGTTTATAATACCATCCAGTCAGAATAACCAGATGCTGTCAGATCTGATTTCAGGACAGTGACTTGATAAATGCAGCAGCTGAAAGGAAGAGGAGGCAAGTGCTAGAATAGAATAAAGTGGGATTGAAGGATAATGAAAGTTTTAATTAGCATACTGAGGTGGGGAGGAAGAGAAAAATATTTATATTTTGGGTCTGCAAGAAACATCAAATATCAACTTGCTGATTTTTCTGACCTGTGTGACTCTTTTCTGCCAGTTACCTTGTTTTGGTTAGATGTAAGCTCTTACATTACATACATACAATAATAACAATATCTGGCATGTGTTTGAATGCATGTAAATAAAGACTGGCTTCCTGATACAGCTAGGTGGATCCAGAAAAACTAATTTTCCTTCCTTTCTGGTGTCTTACTGTTAACATTCTTCTTGGCAATTGGTACTTCTGTCCAGAAAGTGCTGGAAAGGAAGCAAATTTCTTCTTCTGTCTTTTTGGTTTATTAAAATCTGCAACTCTGAAGGAAGGGGGGGGGGGAAAGTATGAAATTGGTAGATTTCCATACTTAATAGTTCAGGTCTAGTCTTTTGTTGTAATAGTCTTTTTTTTTTTTTTTTTTGTTAGGCTGAAGCGTTGAAAATCAATATTATTTAAAAAAAGTTTAAAATACAAATACATTAAAACATCTAAATGTTATTATTTATATAAGAAATAAAAAGCTTAAAGATATCTTAAATTATTTTGGAACTACTAGATGTTCAGTAAATTCTGTCGAGTTTTTATTAAATTTGCGTGCTAGTCCACACTAGTTTTCTTTAGAAAATGCAGGAACTGGCACCTAAGCAGTGCCTACTGTCTGTATTCATGGAACGGTTCAGGCTCTGGTGACTGAAGTTGTACTTGAGTGGTTGCAGTCCTTTCACCTTTCAAAGTGTTCCAGTACCTTGACTGCTCTTCCATTGTACCTAATGCACTGTGGGAGGCTGAAATTTATCCATGTGCATATATACTTGTATTGCACCTCTCATGGGTTTCAAGACTGGTGTCTTCATTTTCGCAAACGCCGTAATTTAGACCTACTACAGTCTTGAAATTATTCACACAGAATGTCTTTATAGCTGTTTCCACTTCTTCACTTGCAGTATTATTCCATACCGAAAGCATTTTGATTTCAGGATTATTTTTTTGTTGTTATTAAATCTTCTTATTTTTCTGCGTAAATGATCATTGGTGGTATCCGGTGAGAAACCAACAATTCTGGTTGTCTTTTATCTTCTTGCTGAGTGGTAAGTTTCAGAAATCTTTAGCTTCAGTTGCAGCAGTCCCTTCAGTCATGCAGCTTCTGTCTGTAGCAGAATTATTTCTGCATGTATTCCCTTGCATTGTCATCAGTGAGCATTTAAGGCTCTGATGAAGTGCATTGCTCTTAGAATCATAGAATCATTTAGATTGGAAAAGACCTTTAAGATTGTCGAGTCCAAACATAAACCTAGCACTGCTAAGTCCACCACTAAACCGTGTCCCGAAGTGCCGCTTCTATGCACCTTTTAAATACCTTCAGGGATGGTGACTTGACCGCATCCCTGGGCAGCCTGTTCCAATGCTTGATAACATTTTTGGTGAAGAAATTTTTCCTAATAATTTTTCTTGGTCCTTACAGCCCTGTAAGCTGCTTGGACTGTACAGCTAAACTTGCTTAGACCAGCAGAGCTGTATTCATGTTGTCTAAAATGTCTGGATGGACACTGGTGCTGGGCAGTTTAGCATCCAAAGGAACTTGTTTCATTTTTCATTTTGTAACAGCAAACAGTTTACAGTTGGTGGATAAGCAAAATAATCAGAGCTACTTCTAATATTTATAATAATGTTTTTGTATTAAATATAAATTAAAAATCAACTGTGTGAATACAAATGTATATAAAGATGAAAAATATATATGGATAAGGATCTTAGTATGTTTTTTCATGCCTGAAAATAAGGGGAGTTAATACTTCAAGGTGGCCATTTGTTTCAAAGAGTACAGTCTTTAAACTGCCTATAGTCAGAAAGCTTCAAAAGTATTACATATTTTAAAGGTTGTATAATACATTTGATATGTTTGTGTTTTTTCACATACTAATGATTCTAATTGTATTCTAGGCAGCAAAGGAACAGACCCAGGACTTGATAGTAAAAACCACAAAACTCCAGGCAGAAAAGTATGTATACCACCTTATTTATTTCTTGAAGACATGACAGTACTGATGGAATTTCCTTCTAGATCTGATTCTGCCACTCTTATTTTTGAGTCATGACTTTGGGTTTTTTTGTATTTGTACTTTGTTTTAGACACTAGCTGTATTTGTAGTTCAAGTGGAATAAAAATACAGAGCTTAGTTTATTACTAGAGGATACAAAAAGGTAAGAGCATGTGTTAGTGCTTGTTGCAATAAAAATTGGCCCTTTAGGGAAGAGAACCAGTTAATAGTGGTACAGCATGCTGAGTCTGGGTGTGCTTTATGTAGTGTCAGTTGATAATGTAAGCTGTGTTGTTTTGTAACAGACAGGGACCTACTCAGTGTCTCAAGAGTTTCACAGGCTTCTTGTTGTTGTTAATGCTTCATATCTAGTGGAAATCACTCTCTTGTTCAGGGGCTGTATGTAGGAACAGAAAGTTGGACTATAACCTACTCTGCCATATTTAAAGCTAACTACGAAATACGTAAGTGCTGTTTAATGAGCCTAACACAGACCACTTTTTCCCTTGGTTCTGCAGCCTTTTGTGGAAGAGAAGATTTGTATTTTGCTCTTTTCAGTATTTTTATTCATGGGAAGGGGATAATAGCCTATGACAGATTGAAGTAATCTTTATTGTTTTTATGGCTAGGATATCTGGTTTTACAGCTTTAGACTTTGTCAGTGTAGAAGAATGAATCTCCTGGCTTTATGAGCTTTCTTCTGATAATTATATACAGTTCACTGGAGATTAGAAATAATTATTTCCAGTGATAAGTTTCTGGTAGAAATTATGGCTTTGGATAGCTCTGGGCACACTTTCAAAATCAGTAGGTTCATGTTGTGGACTTCAGTAGGAAATGGATTATGTCCCGTGAGAGTCTGAATGTGAAGTTAGAGTGTAATCTGTACGTATTTTAGAAGTTGAATGTAGAATAACGGCATAAAATACAATGCTGGTTGATAGAAAATGAAGGATTTAGCAAAGTCAGAGTTTAAGGAAGTGAGCAGAAGTCAAGTCTTAGAAAATTTGTTATTTTAAATATGAGTATGTGAAATAGTAGGACAGAGAAGTGGTCATATTTTTTGTAGCCTCAAGAAAAAGCAAGCTGCTTGATTCCTTATTCTGAAGCAGAATGGAGGATACCAAGACCAATCCCAAGTGGTGTATATCTAATTGGCCTTAAATTCCATTAAAGGAGATTATGCAGAATGTACATCAGTACTTCTGCAATAAAGTCCTTATTCACACAGTAGTTTAGTTAGAAGACTTTCTGCTAATTCCTTTAAGAGACAGAACATCCTCCTAGTGTGAGGAGGAAAAAAGGTTTAGGAGGTAGTCTGTCCTTCTAAGGGTCTGTGTGACCTCAGAATGCAGAAGTAAAAAAAAGTTCTCTTTTGAAAGGCTATTTTTTAAGTATATGATGAAGTACCCACTAGCAGAAGCCAAACAATACTACTGATCTTACAATACGATGGTTATGGAAGACTAATAGTGCCATTTATTCACAAAGTTAACTTTTTTCATGGCTAAGCTTATGAAAAGTTTAAGCAGAAGCTGCAACGCGAAGGCTGTTCTGTTCCATTTGGGACATTTTGGTCATCTTTTCTTTTGACTGGTTAAATGAGTGTTCTGATGCATCTCTTTGGTTTACATCAGGCACATGAAGAGGCATCTGCTACTGAATGTTAGGGGTTTCTTGAAAAGCTGAAATCTTGCCTACAGTCAGGCAAAATACAGGTCTTAAATTACTGATTCCTTCAACTTAACAGGTGACATTTCTTAGACAATAGAGGAGAAAATGGTGAAACTGGAAGGGCATGATTTCTCTGTCTTCTGAGGGATGTCCTAAAATGCTGTCTGATTGAAATGCAGAGATGAAAGCTGGACCCATTCAAAAAGAAGGCAATTGAAACACTGACTCTAGAGCAAGAACAGTCAGTCTACAGCAAGGGAGTAATTGCTGAGTGTAATCAATTTTTTAGAGTTCTTCCTGTGAAAAGATGTCTCTCTTTCTTACTATGAAACACAGAAGTTGTCTTCAGATTTCATCAGCCCCCAATTTCTATTTCTACTCTCTCTGGTCCTACCAACTGTTTACTTTATGACAGGCTTTTCACAGGAAAATATGGGTTAGGTAGAAGTTTCTTGAAGTTTAGGATAATAGGAATTTGTATTTGAATAGCACCAATATAGTAGAATTTTCTGTGTAATTTTTTAATTTAACAATTTTTTTTTTAAAAAAACAAATTCGGTTTTATGTACCACGGTGTTTGTAAGTTAAGTTCTTAAATCAGTGCTGAGCAACGGTATGTTTTTAAATATTACTCTGAAAAATAAAATTAGTTATGTTCTTTCTTTTCATATTAGTCATGTTCTTTTTCACAATGATACTTACTGAATATTTTGAAATAGCAGGATGATACTTTCTGTGATTTTGCTGACCCAATTGTTTACGCTGTCCTTAAGGAAAGTTATTTTGACTCTGCCCTTCTCACTGAGTACTGCATTAAGTCCTCATCTGTTTTCACATTTTTTTAGTAATTTTTAAAAAATAACTTCAGAAATTATTTTGATTTACAGTAAATTATTTGCTGTGCTAGCCATTGGTCAAAAAAAAAAGGTCTTCTGTTATGCTTAACATTTATCTGATTTACTTTAGCTGACCGTGTTATCATAAGAGGAAAATGTTATGATTTAATTCAGTGTTCTAAAACTGAAGGGGAACAGTAAACGTTCAGATACATTTCATGCATTTACAGTAATTAGGGATTTAGATTTTTAAAACTATTAAATTTTTGTATTTGAAATTTCAGGGAAAATGGTCAGCTGTCTTCAGTATGATGAAGATTGAAAGCTTCTTAGGCAAATAACTGATTTTGTATTTCACAGCTTTCTGGTTACTTCTGTTTGTTTTCTAAGAATACATTAGCTCTGGCTTTGATCAAAAATGTCTAGTTGTCTTTCTGTAATAGCCTTAAGGCTGTTGTCAGTAAATCACAGGTGGAACCTTTGGCTTGGGTAAACCCTCTTCGTGCCTGGTCAGTTCTTGTGGAAAGTAAATTTTGTCAAAAGGCTTTATTATTAGTATCAAGTTTAAAGTAAACTGCAATTAAAAGAACAGAATGTTCACTTCAAAACCAGAGAAAGAAAAGTCAATAGCCAAAGTCTTGTTGATTGTAGTTGTAACTTTATCCCCCTACTTACACAAAGCAAATAAAAGAAATATTAAAATAGTAAGTGAACTATTTTCTTAGATCGCAGCATTTTTTGACCTTGCAAATGTAAGTATCTCTTCGGGAATTTTTCCCTATGTGGCATTTGAACCTATGTAGTGGTTTATTTTTGTTTTTAATCAAGAACTGCATGATACCACTGAAGAATAGTTTCCTGAAGATGGAGAGTGGCCGTGGGAACTTGAGTATGAGGATGAACATTTTAAGTAAGAATGCTTGTTCATGCTTTAATCCTTGCATGTATTCTTTCTCTTCTGTGGTACTTGCAGAGGAATGGCTGTCTCAGTGGTTCTGTGCGGGTACTAGGTTTCTTACACTAAGTAGTTTTCGCATTATATTATGACCTATATAATTAGATGTAGTTCAAGATGATTTTCTGTTTCCTAAGCTTCTTGCCCGAATTCCTTGTTGGTCATCCTAGTCTGTCAGATTTGTGGTTTGAAGATACAGTGGTCTGCCTGCAGTATCCTGCAGGTAATCCTGATAAGCTATTTGGGATTTCCTCTGTTGGTAAAATGTGTGATTTAAGACACCTGGTTAAATAGTTGGGCTAAAAAATAAGATGTTCATCTCAGATTAAACTTAAAACTTCTACATTCTCAGGTCGTTGCTTCGCTGCATTTTTTTTCTTGTAACTTAGTTTGGGAGCTTTAGACCTGATTTGGCATAAATGCTAAATAGAGTCCATTACTGAGATTACTTTTTTAATTTTTATCTTCCATTAATACAATTGCGTTTTTATATTTGTGAATGTCAGAGTTGGTGCGTTTCTTTGGTCAATTTGGTTGCGTGTTCTGAATTTATTTTCTCTGTAAAGACTAGTTAAAATCACTGTACCTTAGAAGCAGAACAGTTTTCCTTCACATTATTTAAATTATGGAATCTGCTTAACATAGGCACTAGTTTTTTTCCCCTCTTCTCCTTAAAATTGAGACTTATCACAACTTAATAGAACCATGTAGTGTGAAATAAAGTAGTCCAAGCCATTCAACGTATCTCTCTGTAACATAAGGTTAATTTATTGCTGTTCAGTAATGTAGAGTCTTGAATAGAATGTTTGTTTTAATGTATTTCATAGCAAACTTTGATTAAAAAAATCCTGAGGTAGTTAATTTAGACAATTTCTGTGATTTGTTAAAAATCCACTTCCACTTCAGTATCTTCACTAGATTTCTATACATTTACTTGAGCACATTAATATTGCTTTCAATTTGCATTAGGCTTTTTATGTATAGTAATGAGGAGGTTAGTTTGTTTGCAAACAACGTCTGCTGCATTTTAAAAGATGTGAGTTTGTTTATTGCTGTTGCTAATAGGCTGACAGAAAAAGGATCTTGCTCCTTGAAGTGAGATTTTAATAAAAGCTTTCCGTGACTTGTCAGTTCCCTTGTTATACCTGAGTTTAGTTCTTTATTTCTTTGTGTGAAACTGAAAACCTACTTGCAATACTAAACTGCTTCACCTTGCATTGGGAACAAGTGTTTTGGAGTTCAGTAGTTCCCAAACCAGAGAAATAACAGTTTGGTTCCAAAACACTGTACGCAGAATGCCAGAAACCTGGCTTCATAGTAGTTCTACCAGCCACTTAATAGTAAGGTATTGTGCAAGATTGTTTTTGAGGTTAGCCACAAATGGCAGTCATGGATCTAACAATTGAAGAAAGAGACCAGAAGGTAATAGTTACAATACTAATTCTTATAAAATTAAATCAGAGCGATTGTGTGAGTGTATGTACATTCTCAGGGAG